AGCTAGTTGGTTGCATTAAGTTTTCAAACTGCGTTTCTATATGGACTTGTCCACTGACCGGTTGGGTAAGTCAGAATTTTGGTCCGAGAGGTAATACCTCAAGATGTAGTTGATCCAACGGTATCCTGTACTGATTATGCACACACCTCTCTGGCTTGGGTGGGAATTTACGTTCTGATTGCGTTGGATGCAAGCTTTTAAGGAGCTTTTTGTACTTTCTTGTACAATTGTGCACACGCTTTGCACCTATTGCTTACGAGATTCACGATGGGCTGTATCAAGCTTTTCGACACTTGGTTGGTAAGTCTTGTTCCAGAAAACTTTCGACGTATACAAAGCATACGAAGGCTGAGAGAATCGCGCCCTGCAAAACGCCACAGTCAGCGCGGAGCATAGATGAGCTTTTACTGTGTAACTGAGTTAACTGCGTACAATCAGTGAAGTAGTCACGCAACGATTCGCAGACATCTGAGTGCATTCCGTTCAAATAAATTAGGTTAAACAGCGCAGATCGGTCAAGACTCCCGAAGGCATTTGAATACTAAAGTAAGAGAGGCTGTACGGGACTGTACCTTTTGGAAATTATTGAGGATATCTGTTGCTCGGGGTGTGGATGAGACGATTTACATGTTTTCTGGGCTGCCCGGCTCGGAAAACAGGACAATCCCCTCACTGTAACTTTTATCCAAGTCGGATGCTATTAAATGCACACTGCACAGCACTGGGGTCTACATGCAAACTGGTAGACATCATCATTATCATGGGTAGCCGTGAAAATCATCGGGAGTAGTAACTTTTCAAGGACCTTTAAGAGCATGGAAGTACAAACAATAGGCCGATACTTTTGAGATTTTTTAGCATCTGCTCTTGTTCTGCCTGATCTCCAGCTGTCGGCGATGACTCTGGTCGAGAGTCGCTTGTTAGAAATATCAGTCAAAGGCAATATGAGGGAATCAGCGCACTGCTTCGAAACCACAGCGCAACTGGCTTTATTTGATTAGTTTTTTGAATTCCCTCTTGATGTCACTTTGATCAAATACGGTGGCTGGATTCCAGCTAATGAAGGAGGGCGATGGTTAAGTATTTGTTTCGATAAATTCTCCTTAGACCCAAACGTTTACATAACACTGATTGTGTGTGCTAAGCATCAACTCGTGCTGGGGATTGACTTCCAATTTGTTTGAACAGTCCACTGAAGAATCGTCAGCTGTGCGCCGTAACGGTGCTTCGCTGCCGCGCAAGCACCAACAGTCGCACGTGGGCTGAGGATGTTGCGAGGGTCGCCCGGCCCCCTACGCAGGTTCGAACCCTCGACGTCAGCTTACAACACACGCTTGCGGGCCGACCGTGATAAAATAACCTGCATTATGTCATGTTTGCGCGGCTGCGGTTTACTCGCATTCCGCTTCCCTACACCTTGTTGGCTCTATAGTAGGCGTTTCGGTATCCCCTTCGTTTCCATACGGCGGACATGTCCGATACACCACAGGTGTTGCAGTAGAAGGATGTAGTCCACCTCATCCACCGTCGGCAAAACAATTCGTGCCATGAACTCTGCTGCACTAACGGATGCGCAGCATCCACAGCAAGCATTGCTGATGGAATCGCTCCAAATATGGGAGGTATAACGTCCATGTTCCACTGCCCCAAAAATGAACCAAGCACATCATCGATTTGTGCACCATCCCAACGGTCAGCTGATGATACCTTCAGACCCGATATTCCAACTTGCCAAATGCAGCACTCGCCTTAGATGCGCTAATGCACAGCTCTCTTCTCATCTATAGGTATGTTAACAGTATGTTCCCTAGGTAGCAAAAGTTCTATGAAGTCTCCAAAAGTTCCTCCGTGATCTTGATTTGTGGGCAGCTCACGGATTCCGGTACTAGTGAGGACTGAAAACTCAGACAGGTCTAGTGAAATGGGGACCAGGAGTAGAGAATGTGGAGAGGAAGGGGGCTTTCAGTATTTGCATGTTTTCATTTATCGACCTCGTTGTATGCAGCAGACAAGGTGACCCTTTCCCCTCACCAGGCCACAACAGATGCAGCATGGGGTTATCCATAATTGTGATTGTCGTGCTTGTACTGGGACTGATATACTGCTCAGACGTCCACACCTGAACAGAAGGGCGACTCGGTTCCTCAGCCGGAGCCTTCGAGATAAAATGCACTTTCCAAAGTCGGGAGGGGGGGGGAATGCTGCATGAGTCAGTCGATTCACGCGGACATGTCCTGGCTTTTAATTAGACGAAGGGTTTAACCCCACTCCCATCCAGGGTTCGCCACAAGGGTTTCTCCAGGACATAGTGTCTTGGCAGATCTTGAACAGCGGGTAACGATTTGCCAGGATCTCGCTACCACAAGCCCCAGCGAGCTATAACCTCCTCTGCCATGTATACATCTATGTATGTATAAATATTTCCGGTCCGCTGCTCTACCATGCTGAGGCTGATGTTGCATTCTTGATGCTTCTTCACCGCAGTTGGGCTAAACCAACTTACACTTCAACTAGGTCTTTTTAAGCTGGATAAATTTCATTTCGCTTTATTTGGTTTGTTCTGCCTCCCTGAATAATGTTCTATTAACTGGCCACGTTGCTTACACTAATTGCGCTTATCTTCGGTAATTTTGTTGCGTTTGTAGCATTTTAAGTAACTTGTGGACATTTCTTACTTATCACGGATTTGTTGCTAACCAAATTACTTCATATGGTAATTTAGCGAAGAGTTATGCCACCGTATCTGTATGCATTATTGGATTTATTTTATTTCAGCTTGTCGTTTAAATTGAATGGATGTTGTTTGATATCCCTGGTATGGTTGCGCTTGATGTGTATGTTGACAAGGTGCCTACCTTCTATTACCCACTACATCGTTCATACTGGCTCCAGGAGACAGTTGGTCGTTGCTGGAGGGGACGGGGTGCACGGTTCTTGTGGCCGTGCTAGGCTCAAAGAGCGGTTCCATGCACTCAGTGTGGAGCGGACTACGGTCCAGCCACCGCCTTGTGTGCGGTTGATTCCCCAAATAAAGCGTGCTTGTGTTTGCCTGTGAAGGAGTGTGGGCCGGCTCTGTTGATGAAACGTGGTTCCCATCCGCATGCCTCCTGGTCTTATTCCTTCGGGTTTACACTGGATATGGGGTATGTGGTTGGAGCTGTTGGTGGTGCAGCGCAAGCCATCCATGGTCCCTCTGTAGGCGCAGGCGTCCTGTGGCTTGCCACAGTGACAGGCAAATCCGAAACCGATGCCGCCAACCATGTATAAATATTGATTAGTTTGCAACTGACAGTGTCGTAAGTGCGACGTTGACATAGCTTGGGAGGCATTTAAAGAAGTTTGAAGCTCCTCTGTTGGGTCTTGGAGTTCCCGATTTGTGTCTGGATTGCAACACGCGATCTCCATTGCGGATCCGGTTCGCATTAAAACAAACCTCTGTCACATCTCGATCACTGGAACCGCATCCGAAGTGGAGAGCTTCCGAGCTATTTTTTCAACACTGCACTCCGCGTTCGACTGGTTTCGTTCCGATTCGAACTTGTCATGTAGAAAGATACTTTGAGCTGAGAAGGGAACATGACAGTGATTGACGGCTTTCGTCTTGGTCACTAGGCCATAGCTCAACAGCAGCGCTTGGCACATCTGTGAGCAGTTTATTGTAACACACAGGTACAAATAAAAAATCCGAGAGAGAGCCATCGAATGTACTTAATACCGCGGAGTCCTCGGCTGAAGCCCTAATTTTTGTGGTCTTGCACATTGTTTTAGAAGAAAGACCTACTAGACACTTTGTGAACAATGAGTCAGCTGCAGCTACCCTATCCTTTTTAAACAAAATAACGACTGCAGCCAGTACCGGAATTTTGCTTCACCAGGGCACAGACTTCCTGTTCGTTAGTGGTCGATTAGTATGTAGGAGAAAATGAAACGGGACCTCCAATTGCAACCACGCTTCCGTATTTGTGGTCAATCATACCGACATCAGCTGCGGCGTAAGAAAGCATTTTTTTCGAAACAAACTGGTCATTCATTTAAGAAACAGGCAAGCAATTTTGGGGGATGGCACTGTTGCATTGCGCCCTTAACTGGTAACCTTTTCTGTTTTGACTACCGCGTTACACATGACAAGTGACTTCGATTATGTTTTCTTGAATGAACAGGTTTCGCGAACTGACCGCCGTCTTCAGATCACCTGAAACAATTATACCACTTCGGCTGGTGTCCGAGTAACCGCTTGATTTGGCTTTTGGGTTCAGTTGACCTCTTCTAATTGGCTTCTCATGAAGCCTCTAAATTATGGAATAATGTGAGCCCCAGCGTAAATGCGTGAAAGGTTTTTAAGGCATTACTCCTCTAGCGTGCTGATTGGAAGACATCAGTATTTGTTCTAAGTATTGACGTGAAATACTTTCGTATGGCAGGCCCTCATATTCTCCTGCCAGCTGGGTGGTCCGGGTTAATCCAGTTCCAGTGAATGGTTCGGCGGCAGTGTTCCAGGACGTGGTGGGTTTCTGGCCTGGCAAGTGTTCTCCCTATAAAAAGCCACAAATGTCTGTTTAACAACACTGTGACGTGGCGGATATGACTCGCCACTAAATAAAGTCACTGCTTCTTGCATTTCCAGAGGACCTTACCCCACTCACGGACGTCATCCAATTCGAAGACATTATTTCCTTCCTATGTTGGCGAATTCACCGAACATAACCATAAATTCAGCACAGCTGTGACAAATTCACTCAACATGATTAATAAACCATGCACTTACATGTATACAGAAAACATAACTCCAGTATGTACTGGTTACATAATAACACTTTTGGCAATTACTGATTATACGTTCTGTATTACCATGATCGTACCTTTTTTGGCGTGCCCCCCACTGTCGAGAATAAATCATTTATTTGTTTGTTTAATTTTAGATTAATGTCTCCTATCATTTTCTCTTTATCAGTGCTGATCCAAACCTCTTCCGCGTTCGTCAAGTCATTACTTTTCCATCCATGGTTTCATGTTTCGAAATCCTTAAACTGGCTAATCCTGAATCGTCTATTTTAACTTTGCTACGTTCGTCTACTTGTGTTGCCTGGAATATCTACCACACATGTGTATCTTTTAACCGTTTGCACCGTTTCCACTTTTTACAGCCTTAGATCATCGTTTGGGTGAAAAGCTGAACGAATTAGTTCACTGCGGGTAAGTATACCCGAGTCCATTATCTTTGCTTTAATCTTATTCGAGGATTCTTTCTCAACTCCGGTCCATCAGGGACATGCGGTTCATGCAACAAAGGTAAAGCAGTAGGGCGTACAGCACATTTGTCCCACCTAACGACTTAACATATTCACATCACTAACGAGTCTCAGTGTACCAAATGGCTGTCTGTTGTCTTTCCAGATCGGTAGTTGGCATATCTGGCTTGTAATTTAGTTGCGATGATCTAAATAAATCCCACCAAATCACTATACTCGTGAGTAGTCTACTACATAACCCTGACAGCCTTCAAAATTATGTGTGGACTCACGGCTACTGGAAGGAAATCCTGGACACCTGAGGGTCAATCACTGTCCTCTGCATGGGCATTAACCTGTGTGGCAGTGAAGAACAAGTCGGGTTATACCGCAATTAGATTCCAATCCATAATGGTCAGCTATCGTTCTCCATGGTTCAGTGGCTGCTGGGTAGTGCTGCAGTCCACTATTAGTCGCCTGAAAGGGACTGAAGGATCCCACTTCACTGACGAGCCCCAAGAGGATGAAACGGCCGTCCAGTTTTTTTCTGGATTGGTAGTTGACCTATCTGGCTTGTAATCAAATGGTGTGCACATCCATTAACATTGGCGTTTCCAGTTTCATCGGACTCCTCTTTTGACTCAGCTACACGAACGATGTGGGACTCACTGTGACACATCTGGTAGCCAGGCATTCAGTGAAGCGGCATAGCCGGACAACTGCGCCCATTGACCGTCTCCGTTAAGTTGAATGAACCGAGTGAATTGCTCCGGGATCCGCTGATATTTCGGTACCGACTGTTCTCCCTACGCATTGGGTCTTCAGTTGATCGGATCATGCTTTTCACCTTCCCATTAATTACCTACCTTTGAATGTGCACTGTTTTTTTAGGACTGGATTTATTACACTAAAATTATACTTGCCCTTACAGGTCACTCTTAAGAGTGAGCCCCGTCTTGAAGGATAAGGGCCACTGGTTAGAAATATTGCCTTATATATCACGGTTGGAACTTTAGAGGTCCCTATATAGAGAACTTGATGGACCCGAGTTAGTCTTGGGGCAAATCCTAGAGCGAAAATTGCATTTTGTTTCAAAAATACTGGCTGCGGTGAACGTCGATATTACCTTATTCCACACACACACCACCGCTCATTGCTACTCAATGTGTCCACATGAATTCTCGTCCAATTATTTTTCAGCATACCTTGTATCAACCGTAGGTATTGTTGCTCCTGCTGTGCCGTCGGTTACTGACTTAAAAGGTAAGACGCCTACCTTTTTCTACAAAGGTCGTCAGTTCGAATCCGCGTAGATGCGAGAGACCTCGTGCGATACCTTGTCCGCGCGCAACTTATAGTGTTCGTGTGGCAGCGAAGCGTCGGTACACTGTATCGGTGTATTACTGACATCTTTCTGCTCTTTGGCCCGTGCTTTTGACACGCGTTGTGCTGCAACTGTTATTGCGACGATTTACTCTTTTATGACGAGCCCTCTCACAACTTGCTATGTCACCTTGTTCTATCCTTGTATCGGTGGCTCCAAATGGTGTATATTGAATCCAGCACAGGCACAGCTATTCAGATAGCCATTGCACATCCGAAGAGCACTCGTTGGCCCTCTGTTCCTTTCGAGAATCATCATCAATACGCGTTACATCTCTATCCTGTGGGACTGCAATTCGCGCCCTTCTACTCTTGCTAGTGAGTAGTTGGGATCGTTGGACGACGGGTGACTGCGTCGGCCGATGTGAATAAGTTGTTTGATCTGATATAGCGTGGCTCGATGCTAACTGACTTTTTTCCCGGAAGCGAAACGGATGACTTCGATGTGATGAGATTAGCCAGTCCATGTGAGCGGCTGACAGACTCGTTACCATAGTCAAACCGGAAGCTAATGAAATCAGTTCCTCAGCATGATAGGGATTGTTACCCTGGCGGTGGTTGCACAGCAAAGTCAAGTGGGAAGCTAATGTAACCAGCCTGTCAACATGATATGGATTGCTATGGCGACAGCCGTGAGTGAACGCGGTTACAGTTGACCAGCGCGGACCGCCAGCAAGTGTGGAATCTCTCCAGGAAAGTGGCGTGAGTCAGCTCAGAACGTGCAGCTGAAGATAATAACAGGTGACCTATGCAGTTAACCGCGTTCTGTTCCTAATATACTTCAGTCTAGCAGACTTCGGTTTTTTGTTTTATCCCCGACTGGATTGGCAACGCAGACGGCAGAGGCAAAGGGCAGCGTTACAACATCTGTGACAGGCTAGACCATTAACTAATAACTTCCTTAGCTTAAGCTGCCACGCGAACTGCACCTTTATAAACAGCTTGTGCATAATATTGCAGCATATCAACGTACAAGACAGTGGTTCGCGTCACGTCACGTTTCGGCGGATTCATCTTGCTATCTGACAATGCCCGCTGTAGCTCAGAATCTGAAGTTGTCCGATTACAAAACATTACAAGCCAAATGTGTGATCAACTGCACCGAGGAGATCTCACGGAATTCCTTGGTTTCATTTCACTAGCTTAGAGACTCTTTTGTTACGTTTTGTCTCATTACATTCTTATGTCCGAATTTCTCTTGTTGGGGTTTTGGTCAACTCCTGGAGATGAACATCGTTCCTCCAGTAGTAGCTTCTCTCAGTAGGTGGTGGCCCCATTGTTTTCCCCCGTATATTCTTTTCATCTCTACAGCACAACAATCATCAAACACAACGGGCGGCGGTTCCTTCTACGCACACCCATTTGTCCTGCATTGAAGCTACTTAATCACATCACCGGTAAGCGATTTTCCGGTTATCATCTTTTGGCTTGAATGATCCTTCTGTATGACTGCCGCAGTTTTTTGGGAGCAGCAATCCTTGGGGGATTTTCCTTCTTTTCTTTAGATAGTCTTCCCTTCTTTAGTGGTCAGATCGATGTGGTCTAAGCGACTTTTCAAAGCCATACTCCTGTATGGAAGCAAATTTAACTGGCTCAGATCAGATGAACTGTTCGCTGAGCTTGGTAGTGTTACTGTTACTGTTTCTTCACCATTCGTGGTGACCTCATCGGTGCTTTAGTGTGCAGTGGAGTGGAGTGGACCGAGTAGTCGTGCGCGTGCGCTCCTTTAGGTCATCATCATGGGTCGATTGGCCAGTTGACGTTTGCATATGACCTTTCCGACCCATTCCTTGTGATCATGGCCCATTCGCATCCGTAGCTGAAAATGTGGCCCGAACTGCTCGTATGATGACCTTTTCTACTAGGGGTACTCCACTGTGGTGATACTTCTTCGCTCGTAGTTTTGCGAAGGGTTCATACAGCGCCAATTCGATCTGTCGACACTTTGGATTGTACACTATCTAGGCAGATCTGCGAGCATCTAATCACCACCTCGGTTGAATACTGATAAGAAAAGGGGACACCATACGAATCGCTCTGGGAAGATTTTCATTTGTGGAGGCAAACAAGCCGTGGGCACTATGCATGGGTCAAGGAGGCTATTTTCAAAGATCACCTGTCCAATCGACCTTTGACGATTACCCATGCAAATGTACACCCGGTTCGCAACTACTTACGTATCGCCTCGCTCCGCTACACACTAATACGCTGATAAGGTCACCTTAATTGGTGAGGAAAACTTTGCAGCGAAATTGTCAAAGTCAACAAACAACTCTTCTAATAAGTCTTTTTTCAGATAATGGCTAAACTTCAGTCTCTCAATCAGAAACAGACTGCAGGGCGATGCATTACGGTTATTTCGGACCACTTCTGGTGGCTGCACCGAATGGGTGTATTGCTAACATGTGGGTAACTTGCCTCCGACTCCACAGTTCACTGTACACAACGTTTTGACTGGTTGTTGTCTTACACATGGCTACCGCCCGTCTAATCCGTTGCAACGTCAGGGCTTACCGTGGGCTTTCCTCTCCGTTTGCTGACATCAACGACTTTCACTAAGGTTGCCTTGTCCTACCCTTCTTCAATTTTTCCATTGCATATGACATCCAACGAATATTTGAAGGCGTCAAAAACTGCGGTATTGAAGTTCTTCCCAGTGACGGAATCGCGGACTTGGATCGCGCGATGATATCGCTTTGGTTGAGGATGATTCACAAGCCGTCCGAAGCGCTTTGCACCGCTTAATGACGGAAGCGTCTAAGTATGGCCTGTATATCACCCCGGGTAAATGTAAACTACTACTCCTGGGTTGACAGATGACTGTACCTGCCCTCACAATTACTAGTGGCCTCTTAAAACAAATCCAAACTTCACTTACCTAAGAAGTTGCATCAAGACTGGCTTCGGTGTTGGAGATGTGGTCTCACAACGGGTCGCAAAGGTCCACCTTGCGTTCACCAGACTGAGACCTTACTGGAGTCGTCGCCTTATCAGTCTCAAGCTGAATAGCAGGTCGTACCTTGCCTCTGTCCATGCGGTCCTCTTGTGCCGCTATGATATCTGACCTATTTGCTCGAGCGTCCCCAACTACTGACAGTACGAGTTGTCTAATCCCCATCCTGGAAGGCTGACCGGTCCGATGGGTGATGAGCTTGAGGCTTCTTTCGTCATGCTTCTTCTGTACGTCATTGGTTGCCCACTGTAGCACTTCCTCCAGTCGTTTCCGGGGGGAACGCAAATAACCCTCGACAGGAAAGACAATAGATTGGCATGCATAATACGTGATTCAGGCAAAGCATGCGGTGTCGGGGAATAACGTATTTGATGCATGAGCACTTTGCACCAAGCATTCGATCTCGAACTTCTGTGTTGCTTACGTAATGTTGCCACCACACGCGAGCAATGCTACGCTGACCTATATATATATATATATATATATATATATATATAATATCTTCCATATTGCCGCGAATCAGCATTGGTGCTGAAGTATTGGAAACCACCTCCCGTTTCAGCTACCTTGGGAATGTGATGTCGACTGATCAGCAGCTGCACGTTGAGCTGCGTATTCGCGTGTCGAAGACAGCAGCTGCATTCGGGAAGCTTGAGTACCGAGTGTGGAACAACCATCAGCTTACCATTGGCACAAAGCTGATTGTGTACAAATCCATGGTACTGTCCGTTCTTCTATACGGCAGTGAAACGTGGACGATGTACCGTCGGGATATGCGATATCTCGAGCGGTTTCATCAACAGTGTCTGCGACGAATTTTGCGGAATCGGCTTGGGGCGACAGAGTTGCAGACACGGAAGTGTTGCGCCGAAGTGGGATGTATGCGGTGGACTGCATATTTTACTGAGTCACCTGAGATGGATCGGTCATGTGAACCGTATGGATTCAACGCAGATACCCAAACCACTTTTATACGGTTAGCTGAGTATTGAGAAGTGGCACGTGGGGAAACCAAAGTTACGTTACCAGGACATGATTAAAGTGAGCCTCACACGTTCTAACCTTGATTGCAGATCATGGGAATCGAAGGCGGTTGATTGGCCTGCATGGCGCGATCTAATCACGAAGGCAGTTGCTGAAGTGCAGGAGAGAGCTCTCATGCATGCAGAGAAGAAGCGGCAAGTGCGGAAGCGGCAAGCACCGATGAATTGTACTCCATCGACATCAAGCGCATTGGTGCTGTAGAACATGCGGTCGCGAGTGCCTTAGTCAGGCAGGTCTAGTGAGCCATGAGAGAGGTCACTCGGGACCACTACCGAAGCGACGACGGGTTCTGCAGAGAACATAGGCAGAACCGGCGCAGCGTTTGTAGGCACGCTGAATTCGATTACTAACCGCATGCTTGCATGCTAAGTCTCATTATTTCAGGTGGCGGGTTTTCAGTTTTGTCCTAATGCCTTTCTTCTATAAATGTCTAGTGTCTAGTGAGTCATGAGCGAGGCCACTCGGGACCACAACAGAAGCGACGACGGGTCCTGCAGAGAACGTAGACACATCCTGTGCAGCGTTTGTAGGTACGCTGCATTCTTTTTACTAACCGCATGCTTGCCCGCTAGGTCACTTTATTTCAGTTGGTGGGTTTTCAATTTTGCCTAAATGCTTTTCTTTCTCATATAAATGTCTAACTGTACTGTATTCCATTAACTTGCACACCTCGCTTAAGCCAATTGTATTTGATTTCCATAACATTTTTGTGTTCGTGGCATTTCCGTAACGTATACTTTCTGACCTCATGAACTTATCCAGGATTCGTTTGTTAACAACTTATTTCATATGCTCATTAACTTAAGGTTTATGTCACCGTTTCCATATGCATTAATCGAGTTATTTTCTTTCTCTCTCTCTCTCAAGTGTTTGGCTGTTGTTTGATATCCTGATGTGGCTGCGCTTGATGTGCATGTTGACAAGGTGCCTACCTGTCTATTACCCACTACCTCGTCCATACTGGCTCCAGGAGACAGTTGGTCGTTGCTGGAGGGGACGGGGTGCACGGTCCTTGTGGCCGTGTTAGGCTCGAAGAGTGGTTCCATGCACTCAGTATGGAGCGGACTACGGTCCAGCCACCGCCTTGTGTGCGCTTGATTCCCCAAATACAGAGTGCTTGTGTTTGCCTGTGAAGGAGTGTGGGCCGGCTCCGTTGATGAAACGTGGCTCCCATCCGCATGCCTCCCGGTCTTATTCCTTCGGGTTTACACTGGATATGGGGTGTGTGGATGGAGCTGTGGGTGGTGCAGCGCAAGCCATCCATGGTCCCTCTGTAGGCGCAGGCGTCCTGTGGCTGGCCACAGTGACAGGCAAATCCGAAACCGGATGCCGCCAGCCATATATATATATATGTATATATAAATATTTGTATATATAATTGATCAATCGTGCAGCAAATCAAGTGTAATTTGGAGTCGGTGAGCATTCTCAGAGCCTGATACCTTCATCCATAACTTCAAATCGTCAGCATAGATCAAGCATTCGAACCAGAGAGTTGAAGTATGGTCGTTAATAAAGACAGAGCCCTGAGGGAAGCCACTGAGCATAAGGGCGTGGGCTGTAATATACTAATACGCTTACGTACCATTCCCCTTGTGTTTAACATTTTTCTTCGTCTATCCAACGGATTGGCCATGTGCAATGCAATATTTGGTAGGCGTCTCTGCGATTCCGCATTCCATCCGCTTAGTACGTGCCTTTTCATAAGCCCCCGGTAAATTCAGTATGGCTTTTTGAACAACTAGAAATATAACTATGCTCACTCTCATCCCTAACCTGCGGAGCGGAACCAGAGCTGTCGATATCGTGATAATCGCTAGTCGGTTAATTGTGTGGATTGTTCACTTGCCACAGAATTTCCAGGGAAATTTCTCTTCGAATGCATAGCGTAACGTGGTCACACGAAGGACAATCGTTGAACATTGTGTTCCAAGTGTCAGACTTTACCCTTTCTGCTTACTGTCAGCGGGCAAGCAATGATAACCTTTTGATTCAAATGTATCCATCGAACTGGTAACAGACTCACTAATTTTCCACCTTAGCATTGATTCGTATCAAGCACACAATTCGCTCGGAATCATCGCGCGCACGTCCAATACGAATGAGCTAATGGATGGACTCAACCATTATTCTGCGACTCACCGGCTCTCTAAGCGTCGTGCTAGTTATAGCATTAAGCAGCTTGTCAAGCTACGGTTATGCAATCTACAAACCGATTTCAAAACCAGAATGTAGATAGCATAGTCTGATGAGTAATACCATTGAGCTTACATAGTGTAGTGAATCGCGGCCGAATAATAATACGAAAAGAAAGATGCCGCATCTCACTGTCTCGGTATGTCCCCACTTGAGAAGGTAGCAAGAATAGCATAGGTCGTGATGAGTACAACATTGTAATGAGCAACATCTGAACTCATCGCTAAATACAACCGAGT